GCTAAATACACGAGACGGCTCTACGGGTCTCTGCTAAGAACCCGAGCGTACCTACTGACTCGATCGATAACGGGACATTGCTGGTTATCAATATATGCAAAGTTCTTCCGCGTCCGCGACGACGACATGTGCGTTTGCGGTGGGTGGGAAAGCGCGATACAACGTTCCAAGACATGTACTGTATTTTCTCTACCTATGAAATCAAATTATTTATCACGCTGGGCCAGTCTTTTCATGACACTATCTCTTCGGGTTCAAGGTGGAGAATTCTCTTCATCCACTGAAACCGTTTGTTCTCTATGCTCCAAATACGACGCGACGTGGGGGTCGTGCTTTAAATTGCACTGTAGCATAGATTGAACGAAATCTCTGGTGGTACTCGCTCAACAGCAGTGTCCCAGATGGTTATAGTTCGGTTAGTGCTCAGCATGTAGTTGTAGCGAACTCTGGGCGGCCACATTTGATTCAGATTAGCAAGAGCCGACGAAGGGACAGCGCCGTCAACCTTGAGCTCATCAAGGATGTCCTCCCTTGTATATAGCCAACAGTAGGCCACAACAAACGGGCCATCATCAAGGCTTCGAAGATCAGAAACCTTGGCAGGGGCGGTGCTGTGTCCGGTATCTACATTGACAATATCTCCACGACGGAGAGTCCACGAACCAAGAGGAGCCAAGTCGACCCTCCGGAGACACTTCCATGGCTTGGCGCCATTGATTGGGAGCGGTTGGAGGTTCTCGACTCCTTCTCGTGACACGACGTAGAGCTCTTGGGCTGGCGCAGCCAACCAAGGTCGGCAAACAACGATCCCTAACCGTGTGTAGCACAAAGTCTCTAGTAGCACCCATTCGCAGCAAACCCGAGCTAGATTCAATGCTGCTGTAGCTTGAATAGTCTTGGATGTAAGTGAAGATGAAAAGAGACTGAGCTTCTTACAGACGATAGAGAAAAATCTTGAGACTGGATCAGAATTACAATATGGCGGAGATTCCTCATCTGCCTCATACGCGGTGGGCGGATTATCGAATATGCAGGCAAACGCCTTGCTAAAGGAAGATTTACCTAGTCTTTACTCTTTCCGTCGAGCGATCGTAGAGTAATAGTCCTTTATATATAGTACTTAAAATAGATCCTTAGCACAGAATAGTATGTTATCATAAATTTGGATTGAGAATTATAAAACACCACTGTACTGTCCAAAGCACTGGTGCTGCCTTAGAATAGCTCAAAAATGAGCGTTGTTGTATAGACTAACAAGTTTCAGGAGAGGCTTCAAACAAAGCTGAGGGTGAATGGTGACGCAGGCAGGCGGTTTCTAGCTTTTGAATGTCGCAGTAAATGCAGTGGTTTTCACACAACAACCTTAAGTGGGAAGTTTTGCAAAGCCTTTTTGGAAGCCTCCCGTTCATCCAATCTTTTCCAGTACGCCAAGAAATTTTCTCGTCCAGGCAATAGCATCCAGTCACACACTTGCATTGCCATCATCTTCATTAACCCATAGAAGTGAATATCTGCAGCAGAAAATCTGTCTCCACACAACCAAGTCTTTCCCTCCAATTGATCATCAAGCATGTTCAAGGCCTGATTGATCAACACTTTCTGGTTGACTCTAGCATCTGGAGTCGGAAGTCGGTTGCCTTTATAGAAATCGACAGTGGCAGGATCGTTCCTGAACCAACTGTTGATGGGTTGACAAACTTCCAGGTCGATTCTTCGGAGCCACATGCGAGTCTCAGCACGCTGTTCAGGTGTGTTGCCAAATAGGGATGTGCCTCCGAGGGCTATCTCATCTAAGTACTCGCAAATAGCGGTGATCTCTGTGAGGACAGTGCCATTGTCAAGCCGGAGAGCTGGAACCTCCCCGCGAGGGTTGATTGCGCGAAATGCAAGGCGTCGGTTTTGAAGGCTCATAATATCAATAGTCTCAACATCAAAGTTGAGGCCGCCACGTTCAAGAACGAACAAACGGACAGCCATAGGGTGGGATGCGGCGGCATCAAAGAATTTCATTGTTGCGATTTCAAGAATGGTATTCCGTCTTTCTCAGTGCATTAGAACTTAGGAGTATCTGCGAGGGTTTTTATACTCCAGCACGAGAAAAAAATTCGAATTGAAACGGTTGAGTTCACGGAGATAGAGATTTTTCAAGTGGAGCTGATGTAGATCGTAGGTCGACGGATGCGGTGTTGATATTACGGAGTTAGCATTCCCTTAACTCCGCCCGAACATTTTGGCGGGCAAAAAAGGCGAAATAACTCATGCTCTCCCCTACTACGCGGAATTCCGGTAACTTACCACGGATCCAGATATTCAAGTTAAAGTGAGGCATAGCTAGAGAATTATTCTTAGCTTGTACATTATCGCTTTTTAAATGCTGTCCTGCTGTAAGGCTCAGTGGATTAACAAAATATCAAGGACATCCAAAGTGCTGCGTAGAAGACAACGGTAATAAAAATAGAACCCGATCAAAATCGGAAAAAAAGAAGAAATCGAAGTCAAAAGCTGGTCTTGATTCCAGAGGTGTGTTTAGCGAAGGGAGAGGCATCATAGTACAGTATGCAGGAGTTGAACAATTTTTGGCCTTGGAAGGCGGGGATTGGCGAGTACATAGTAAATGGACTTTAGGAAGAGTTCGGAGTTAAGAACCAAGGAACTTTAAACACCACTTGAAGGGGCCCACCAACCAATCTACTCAACAGTTGCCGCCTTCCTAACTAATTGCTCTACCAATTTCGACAGAAGGTCCAAGAACGTAGACGAGGGGTATAGTGACACAGGTGCTACTGAAAGCCTTCTCATTCGACACGTGTTGAATTTTGGAAGTTCATTTACTCGAGGCTCAACTAGGAATTGGATCTAGTGCGCAATTATAGATTCTTTGAATAAAGCTCGCTTGGTCTGCGAAGTCAGCGGCTTATCATTTTCAGCTGTTTAAGGATTTTGGCTCCGTATCTGACATCCTCGGGGATCCCGCGTGGGAAGGTTATAGCGCCCGGGCACTTCATAAACAAGTACAATCATCTTATTCATCGAATGATAACTTGTTGTCTCTTCACTAGGCCTCGAACCTTTTGCTTGGGTCGCTATGAATTTGATTACTCCAGTTCGGTTGTTCCTCACTGTTTCTGTCTGTGGCAGCATTGTTTATCTGCAAACTCTCACTTATCCATGCCGTGACATGAATTTTACGTGGCAACTCCTGGCCATTCCAAACGTAGCGCTAAGTCAGAGGCGCATATCTTGTCAGCCACACATCAAGTATCTAGATCAGTAAATGAATTTACAGACTCGTTTGCAGTGTAGAATAGCGCGGATGCTCACGTATTTCCTAATACTTCTTTCCTTATTACATACAGGAAGTTCTTAAAATTTGGATCTATCCACCAAGCTTTGGTGCACGTCTATGGAGTCAGAATGTGTTCCTAGCCTAAGAGTGCCGGAAAGTTGAAACTGTGGTTTACGATAACAATATTGCATTTACGAATCAGGTAAAACGTCTGTATCTTGGGTTGATGTTGAATAAACCCCCGTCAGGATATCCCTCCAAATCTGTATGCTTCAGACCCGAACTAGGCAGCCGTGTTTGCCATCCTCAAGATCACATCCTTGTCGCAGAACTCAACCACCTTCTTGACTTTAGACCCATCCTCATTAAAGTACAAGAACCAAGCCAACTCGGCCGGGTACGTCTCTCCGTTATTTGGGTGCACCTCTGCGATAGACGTGAAAGCGGCCCGGCGGGCTTCAGTATCGATGATCAAGTTCGCCATGATGTTGTTTTTGAATTTCAACACCTTGATGTCCTTCGCAAACGCCTCCTGATACTTCGCCGTGTCGAAAAAGAATTCCGCCGGTAGGCCAAAGGCCTGGGGGACGGATGCGGGAAGCAGGTACCGGGTGCAGTCCGCTGTAACGTTGCGGTTGATTATGGAGGCGTCGTTCTGGACCGCGCCCTCTTCGTACGCGCATAGGAAGGCTCGTGCTGTAGCCTCTATGCGCTGTCTTAGGCTCATCGAGGAGGACATGATGAAGCGAGCTGTTGAGATTCTTCAGAAAGTTGAGTAGGTGGATTTGAAGATAGTGAGTGCCTGAGTAGCAAGAAAAAGAGAGCTGTAGTCGTATCACGTTAGGCTTGCTACCTATTTATCTTTAATGCGGAACAATATCTGCCTACTACCGTCCGGTCCGTCCCACATCAACTTCCAAGGGCCCCGTATTAGTCCTTCGCGGCGATAGGAGTAAATCCACAAGTTAACCCCGTCCTTGGAATGATGCTTCACAGACAAAGTCAATCGAGGTGATCTCGTGAGGTGCTATTCACCGTTCCCGTCACAGATCAATGCAGTAACTAACTATAGACCGCTGTGATGACAATTTCCCTCTTTTTGGCCTAGTGCGCGTCTCACTAAAGTTAAACAACTGATTCCGGATCTCCCGTGGCTTTATCCTAGCCCCGGTCGCTGACTCGAGTCCCGCAAGATGGTTAAGCTTGCTTAACGGTTAACCCCGGAGTCCCGGACTCTTAAACATTGATAATCAGTAACTTTAGGTGGGTCCCGTGGGGATACGGAGAGTGCCTAACCCGAATAGGGAAAAGTGTCATCACAGTGGGTCATGGATCAGTGATGGGAAACCGAGGAAAGGACAGAACATGCCATCGGATTACTTGAACTTGATCCAAAAGTACGCAGGTGAAGAGGCGATATTAGCTTTCGGGCAGCTGAACCTATCGCCGAAAGGATCTTCAATGGAAGCGTACGGTGATTTGTAAGTCATAGGTAGTCTCCTCAAGTAACTAATGCTCTCCTCCAACGAGCCCATGGCGCATTGGAGACTTTCGGTGAGTTGACTATATAACTGAACCACCTCCCTCCTCCTGCACCCACTCGACCTCAGTATCCAACTCCTCCAGGGCTCAATATCACATCATTCCTCCCCGTGATACCTAAGCAAGTCTTGTTCCTCATCGCCAGCTTTCAGAATCCCTCGCCAGCGCAATTATGTCGCGCTACGTTGAAGCTCACGCCAAGCCAAACGGCCCTGGCGATACTCGCCCGACGGCCCTGCAAATCATCAAGGACGAGGACGTTGAGGGCAAGCTCAAGGGCGAAGTCATTGTCATCACCGGTACGTCTTCTGGCATCGGCATCGAAACCACTCGCGCCCTGGCCACCACCGGTGCCACTCTCTTTCTCACGGTTCGAGACGTCACCAAGGCCCAATCTGCCCTCGCTGGTATCTTTGAACCTTCCCGCATGGAGATTATCGAGATGGACCAGGCAACTCTCTCTTCGGTTCGCACCGCAGCTGCAGCCATTCTCGCCAAAACCTCCAAGATTCACCTTCTTGTGAACAATGCCGGCATCATGGCCATCCCCGACCTCCGCCTAACCGCTGATGGCCACGAACTCCAATTCGGCACGAACCACCTTTCGCATTTCCTCTTCTACAAGCTCTTGGAACCCGCTCTCCTGGCTGCCGCCTCCCCCGACCTCCCGTCCCGTGTCGTCAATCTCGCTTCCTCAGCCCACAATGTCCAGGGGATCAATGACCCCGACAATTACAACTTCCAGAAAGGCGGCTATGACCCCAGTGTGGCCTACGGGCAATCCAAGACGGCCAACATTTACATGGCGAACGAGATCGAGCGCCGCTATGGCTCGCGCCACCTACACTCCACGAGCGTCCATCCCGGCCTTGTGCAGACAGGACTGACCCAGCATATGCCCCCGGGTGCCTTCAAGGGTATGGAGTTCTTGTACCCCACCATGAAGAGCGTTGAGCAGGGTGCTGCAACATCGGTATGGGCGGCCGTCGGCAAGGCATGGAAACATGAGGGCGGCAAGTACCTCGTTGACTGTGCCGTGGCAGAGCCGTATGCGGAAGGAGATGACAAGTTCTCTGCGCCTGGATATTCCCCGTACGCCTATGACGTCGAGAAGGCGAAGAGGCTTTGGATCGACTCACTCGAACTTGTAGGCTTGCGGGATGAAGAGTAGGGAACCAAGAGAGGGCCGAGACTCCTCAGTGTACTGTCAAACTCGTGATTTCCTTCAAATAGATGTGAATGAGGAAGACGTACAATCCATGATTTTCTTCTTGTTTGTAGTGCACGTCCAGTCAATAATTGGAAGGAGTCATTACTGCCCTGAATCTTGCAATAGAAAGCTCCAATGCCACGTCACTCCGGCCCCAAGCACCTTCGTTGTCCCCATCTTCATTCCTGAAGCGTAGAGGGAAAGTACTGAAGTGTTTTGCGCAATAGGTGGACATCATGCGACTGAAATCCAAAGATTCGCTTACGAGACCATGTCAAGGTCCGCGGAGAAAAATTGTCTTGGCGGCAGGTAGAGATGTTGAGAAGAGACCAGGGCTCGTCCTCGCTGCTGCCCAAGCCCTCCTACAGGGGTCCCTCTCTCCCGTTAAGCGGCAGCCTGCCTCTCCATGGCCTGCTGCTTCCTTCCAATGATTCAGAGAGACGAATGGGCTCCTCTCCTCTCATCCACCTCCAGCGGTTACTACATTCAACCAGATCGTGGCATCCTTCCACGGCCCACGACCACTTGGCAAGGAAGCCGGGGGTGGCCTCCCAGTTCTGCATGTCGTACGGTTCGCCCCAAACAATGAGTCCCTTGCGACCCGCAGTTACCTCACCCTCATCACCCCCCTCGCAGCGGGGCAGAGCCCACGTAGTTTTAGGATCGGAGACAGTGATGGTGAGGGGCGTACCTCGGCGCTTTCGAGCCGGCATGGCACTCATGAGCTCACCAATGAGGTCTTGTAGCAGCTCCCAGTGGTCGAAACTTCCATCGCGTCTTATGAGATTGTCACGGAGGCGCGGGAAGGGGAAGAGATTGATCCAGACGGAGTGCAAGTGGGTTTGTTGGAGGCGGGTCGGGACGAGGGAGACAGGAATATTGGGATTCAGGGGGTAGACGCTTGTGTCGTCACGGTAAGGACCGCTGATGGGACAGGTGGTTGGGGAGGGAGGATTATCGGTCCAACCAGTGAGAAGGGTATTGAGAGTGCGCTTATTAGAGACAAAAGCACGGAATACATTATACTGAACAAGATGGAGGAGGTGATCGGTTGAGAGGGGGAAGATGATGGGCGGGACTGTTAGGGACGGCTGGTCATGGACCAATGTGTGTGATGGCCCTGGGTGGACTCCGGCGCGGTCAGGTGTGGACATTGATGTACTGACGTGAACGTGAGACCGTTCAGGGGAGCTGTACGTGGCGGTTGCGCCTTCCGATGCTATCGAGGTGTCTTGGGAGGGACAAACATCAAGTTCCTCAAGGCGCCAGCGCCTGACTTGGAACGGGCGCGACTTCTGAGTAGATCCCGGGTCTTGCTCCTTAATCCGCAGTCCTTCAAAGCTTATGAGCTCGGCAGTGGGTGAGGCATTAATGGACAGACTCACGGTGTGCTCTTTGGTTCTTCCGGTTTTGGACCTTCCTGCGCTGCATCTTGGCCGTCATCTCGGCCTCAGCCTCGGCTTCGAGGTGATTGGGGTGATCACCGACGCTGTTTGTTTCGCCCTCGCCTAGGGCTGAAGAAAGCAGAGTAACAGATGGTTCCATTCTCCTGAGTTACCGAACACCCAGTTCCGCGTTGCTGCTGTCTAAAGTTAGCGGTAAGGAATGGAAAAGTAATGTGAACCGGCCGGGCCTGGTGTTCAGAGGTTGAAATATGCCGTGCACTGAACGATTGCAATTCCTGGGAGCCCGCCCCATGGGCTTGGCCAGAGGAGAAAATCGTCATCGGGGGGAGCGAGGATGACACCATCTTCGTCCGCATAAGGACCTACCGGCCGGATTTCCTATGCCACGTCTTAGCTTTTCATTTCCGTTTTGGTACTCAGACCCTCGCCGCTTTTGCTCACTGAGTAGATCTGAGCACGTCCCTGAGCCCTCTGATCAGCTCACTGAGCAGGTCCGATCCACTCTGTTAACAAGTATCTACTTGCAGGGTAGAAGGCCTGTCAACTAGGTAGGAGAGGAAAGCACCAAGTCTGATTGAGACAAAGACTGTTTCTTGAGGAGTTCGAATCCCACTCCTCAAGCATCGATTTAAATACATCATCTTTTGTGCAAACAGGGAACAAACATGAAGCAGGGGGGAAACCATGGCGAAAGGCCACCACATGGCCAACGCATAGTACATACTGTGGGCGTGGCCTGCATGCAGCGTGGCTGTCGCGTATCGCGGTCGAGGGGCCACCGGCTGACCGCCGGGATGGCCACCGCCTTGGCAGAATCCTCAACCTCTGGGTGCCTAAGGCACCAATATCAACGTGTGAATACCCTCATCAAGATATCATAACAGTGTAGTAAATATTATACTAGAAGAAGCTGAATTAATCGTCTACAACGGCGTTATACGGTATATAGAGGACTGATTTCTATCATATTCTCGTAGAGAGAACGACGTATTTAAGATTTAGGAGAGTTAATATTATCGTTCTTGCTTTAGTTTCCGTACTCGATCTGCGACGGGTGCATTTACGCGGCGACTTGCAGCCCACACATCTTCTAACTTCTACGGAACGTCCGAAACGCCGTGATATGACATCATTCAATAAGTGTCTCTTATTTAGGCCACCATTCTACTGTTTAGCAGTGCTCTGTATGGATTATGTCGATACGTTTCCAGATTAACGCCTAGGCCTAAGCAGTTTAAATCTGAGTAGAGACAGTTACGGTCCGTTACTTTTGTCAATTTGCGCGGTATAGTTATATTAGTGTTTGAATTGTACGTCTGTCTTGAGGCATGCCAGGCGTGGATTTTCAAATAGATCTTGGACTCTTATAATGATGACTGGCCAGCGGCACTGCCTTAGTTTCGTGAGGGTCCCAATCATCCAGAATAGAAATAGGTGTAACTACCGAGGTACAAACGGATGGACAAATATCGGAGATAAATGTCCGTTAAGAACCCAGGTTACATGAACCTACAGTAGCAGAATACTACAGTTTTGAAAAACATGGGATCGGTTAACAAAATTCCGACATACTCATTTCCGAAGGAACAAGTTGACTGCCTTGCCAACCACGCGGGTGTCAACATTGAAGAGCGTATAACGGACGTTCTGCTTTTAACCGACAAAGAGACGGGGGAAATGACCCTGCGCATGAATGCCGAGTCCATCTGCATCTGGTGCAACCGTGCAAGTACGTGCTCGTGAACATTGGGCTCTAGAAATATTTTATGGAATCAAGGGTTGATTGTAAATCTTTCATTCATGTGCCAGGGTACGCGGGCTCAAGTGTCCAAGTTAAGAAAGGCAAGGCCGCATCTTTTACGCCTTCATAAGCCTATAACGATGATGGCCAAATTGAATTACACGAATAAATCCGGGTAAGCTAACATTTATCTGCAAAAAAATTAACTTAATCCTCATCTTCAAGATGATATGTCGTAAGCCTAAATTATGTGCCGAGGGAGTCAACGATCCTGTCGGCAAAGATTCATAGTGCCTCTTACCTTCAATCAATGACCATATTGAGAGTCCTTGTCAATACTCTCGTCTAGATTGGTGGTTAAAAGAAGTTTGCAGGAATATTAGTCTGGAGTGCTTGTTTACATAGAGAAACATATCCGACCAGCCAACCGACTAGAGCAGGCAGGAACAAGACTGAATCTTGGAGACTGGTTTTTAAAGCCTTATTCAATTGGACACTTAGTGACTAGCAACCCATCCTCACATGGAAATTGAGAAATCTCCAAAGTCGGTAAACTCCTTTGTACTGCGTAGGAACTCGAGGATTTCGCTTGACATACCTTCATTCTAGACCGTTCTCTGCCAGGTTACCATGAACCTCCTAGCTAGCCTCCGACAGCACGATGAAAAGCTATCGGTCCTCGTATTCTCTACTTTCCCCCCAGAATGAAGGCCAAAAACCTACTAGATAATATGGTTTTTGAGCATCTGCGCATTGTTGATGAAACTCACTTCAAGCATCTTCGCCTAGCTATATTGTAGTACCACATAATATTCTCCGCAATTTGCAAAATGGGAGTTCACAAAGAGGATGAATATGTCTACTCTAACGGTCGGACAAATATCGGTTATATCCTTATCACGCTCAACCATCTAACCTCAGTCGTGGGTGTAGTAAGTACCTTAGGAAAATACAAGAATTTAATAAACTTCATTCGCATCCGTTGCTAAGCTAGCATTGCTTGCAACAGCCTAGAGGATAAATATAGCTCGGGTGGAATGTGAGGTCACATAGAGTTCTCTTCTATGCCAGTGCAATCCATATTATCTCGACTAATGTAGCCTGGGACTGATGCCTGAGTATGTCTATCAGGCTACTGTTCATAAATTTTCCACCTTGGCTCTCCCAAGGTTTGTTGGCCACCTCTCCGGTATTTTCTGTGGAAGCAGTTCTTCCCGGTGGGTGGATATTCTCCATCAAATGTTGAATACCTGTCCCGGAATTCGGTTAAACCTGGAAGGTAGACGAGCTTGCTGGATGGGACCACTTAGTGATGAAGTATCAATTCTGGTAAACGACCAAATTTACTATGAGTGGATCGCTCTAACCGAGAGTTGGATCGGTCGCATACGTGAGCGAGACTGTGGTAATGACAGTCCCTGAGTACCCTGGGCATGTTGAAATATTACCCACAGGTTGTATGCAGTATAAAGAAGCTAATGAAAGGTTTCAAAGAGTGAGTGTCAGTTTTACGCCTTTCCCTTTATTGTGGTCAGAAAGAGGCGGCATACTGACGCCGTAGACGGATACCGATATTAGATACTGACCAGTAAAATGGTCGGATTAGCCTAATAGATTTTGTAATTATATCCGCGTGCTCCCAAAGACGGTAGTCTCCGCATGGATTTGGCTTGGACCTCGGTGCCACTTTCATTTGGAGTCAAGGTGTAGTGTAGCAGACTTGCTCAGTGACTGGATCAGGAATCTTACGTTATATTCTTGAATCAGGTCAGGGCGTCCAGAGACTGTGGCCAAATTTGATCAGTGGGCAGAAGCGGCGAGTGTCTGGCCCTAAATCGGAAGGGGCAAGCCAAGACCTGGTATTGGAAATCCGGTGCGTGGATAGTTAGGCTGGAGGACATCAAAGTCGTCAATGTTAGGGTGAGAGGGGGGTAGGCATTATGCTGTGTCTCTGAGCGCGATCTTTTACCCTGAGTGACAACCTTTCTTGTAGGCTTTGTAATGTGTTGAATAATCCCTTAACGGCTTTTTGCTAACCTGCTGATGCGAGTCATTCGCTTGACAAGAATTCTCTGAATGAGGCACTATAATGGCAAAATTGGCGCATCATCCTTGGCCCTTTGGGCCTGTCAATCTAAAATTTGTTGTCCGAATCTCAAAAATGTCATTTCTATTGATGCAATCGTTTAAGTTTGTTAATGTTCCAATCCAATCCGTAGTCCCGCATTGAACTCCCTAAAGTCACCCCTCAAAATCCCAATTCCATCTTGCCTAACTTCCTCCACAAGCCCCTTCACTTTCAATGCGATACTCTTAGCCTCAAAACCAAAGTGCTCATACGTCTCCTTCGAAGGAAGACTCTTCCCGAACGAATTCATAGAAACCGACGCATCAGCATATCGTTCCCACCCATTAGACGGGTACGCTTCAATGACAACAGCAGGTTTTCCAGCCCTGGGCTTCAGCACCGACTGCTTATATTCCCGAGATTGCATTTCAAAAAGCCGAGTAGATGGGAACGAGACAACTCGTGCATGAACACCATATTCATTCCGGAGTACATCCCGAGTTTGCATGGCATAGACCATCTCAGAGCCCACTCCAATTAGAGTAACGTCGAAGTCGTCGCTTTCAGTCTCCACGAAGACATAAGCACCCTTCAATGTCCCTTCGCGAGAGGAGTACTGTGGATACTGAGTCAGACCCTGACGCGAGAGGGAGATAACGGTTGGAGTTTCGGTCGCTTGAATAGCGGCAATGTATGCGCCTGCCACTTCTTCGGCATCGCAGGGCCGGATATAAAGGAGATTAGGCATTGCGCGCCATAAGGCTGCTACGGCGATGGGTTGGTGGGTAGGTCCATTTTCGCCTACGCCGATGCTGTCGTGCGTAGCGATGTGGATTTGTTGTAAGCCTTGCAGTGCGGCCATGCGGATTGCCGCCGCGGCGTATAGATGGAAGACGAAGTACGTGCTCGTCATTGGGATGAAGGTACCTTTATTAAAGGCAGAAAGGCCGTTTGTGATGGCGCACATGGCGTGTTCGCGGATGCCGTAATGGATATAACGACCGCTGTAATCTCCATCCAGACCGCAAGATGTTCGGAGAGCAGGCTATTTCACAAATGTCAGTAGATGAAATCAAGTACAGAATGAAGATATGGTATGCTCACCGACTGGAAATCGACCTTGTTTTTGTAGGCAACATTGCACGAAGGTGTGAGATCCGCCGTACCAACCATGAACGAGTTTATGTTCTCCGCAAGGGCATTGGTCAACACACCAGCCGACTTCCTGGAAGCAGTAGAAGCGGTAGGGTTATCCTCCTTACGAGGAATCAGTCTAGTCCAGTCTGTAGACATCTTCCCTGCAACACGGAGTGCAAATTCTTCAGCCAGATCGGGGTATTCCAGACGGTATTTTGCCACAGCTGCTTGCCATTTCGCCTCGTGAGCCTCACCACGACCAGGCAGTTCATCGAAGAAGTCATAGACATCTTGAGGGATATGGAAGTGCTTGTTAGGGTCTAGACCGAACGATCTCTTCAGGTTAGCCACTTCCTCAACTCCGAGCGCGGCGCCGTGCACATCAGCTGTACCAGCTTTCGTGGCTCCATAGCCAATCACAGTGCGGATGTTGAGGAATGTGGGCTTCTCTGACGACCGAGCGGCGAGAAGAGCGTTCGCAACGGCTGTTATGACGTGATTTAGCAAGAAATTCACCATCTAGTCGGGAGGTATCTAAAACTTACCGGCGACATCCGTATCTCCATTATACACGTCCACAACATTGAAGCCAGTTGCTCGCATCTTCATGTTGATATCCTCAGTATTAGCAACATCGGCCGTTCCATCACACGTGACAGAGTTATTATCAAAAATAACACATATATTGTTCAACTTCCAGTGACCAGCAAGGGAAAGCGCCTCGAGTCCAACACCTTCCTGAAGGCAAGCGTCACCGACCAAACACCAAGTCATGTTATCCATGACCACATGACCTGGCTTGTTATATGTCGCAGCAAGATTCTTGCTGGCCATGGCAAGACCGACGGCGTTGGCGAGACCCTGGCCCAGAGGCCCTGTCGTGACTTCCACGCCATCAATCTCGATTTCCGGGTGGCCCGGGCAGAGTGAGTCGGTGTTTGCTGAATGGTATGATTTGAGTTGGTCGAGAGTCATGCTTTTAACCCCTACGAGGTGCATGAATGTATATTGCCATAGGCAAGCATGGCCTGTTAAAAGTTCTTAGTCATGCTGCTTGGGTTGAAAGATTTGACTAGGTCCAATCAATTGAGAATACGTACCGTTCGAAAGGACCAAACGATCCCGATTGAAGTAATCGCAATTCTTTGGAGAATATCTCATCACGTATTTGTACAAGGCAATACCGATGGCTGCCATGCCCATTGGAGATCTTGAATTTCTAGTCAACACTGCGTTGGAAGAAAGAGTTCTCGGTGGAAAGGGTGATAGTACCCAGCATGACCTTCACCATATTGCTGGCAGATATCAGCGATCATTGCCCGAAAGACGCTCATTATACGCCCATGCTTCTCTGGGGTATCCAGGCTCAGACTATCCCCTACCGCAGGGGAGAGTCCATTGCGGATGGATGAGAGGGCCTTTGTCGGCAGACTCTGGATGGGCGTTTCGAGAAGTTCTAGTGCAGGTGTCATGGTGAAATAATATGGCACTTGGAAATGACTGTATTTCTTGGTGAAAGTGAAGGTGGCTATCACTCTTATATCTACCATCCAAGGTTATTCTACCAGATTGATCGCATGTCAAGATCATTGTATTGAGGCGAAGTCCCGAGGTCGGTAATGACTGGTTGAGATCGACGCGAAGTCCCATTATGCAATTCCAAAAGAGAGTAGCATCTTGAGATAGGAACCGACTCGCATGAACCGTCAGAGTGGATTGCCGTAGGCCAGGAAGGCGCGTTGTGATTGGTGGGACTCCTCGCGTCGAGGTCAGTGGCCTTCGTCTCGAAAGCCCATGCTGTCCCTTGCCCCGGAACAATGCATCGCAGAAAATTAATATAGGACTAAATGGCGTCACGTAGAACATGTCAAATTTTCGCTTTTTTATTGGGTTGGAAATTTTCATTTTTCTTATTTATTCTACCCAGCGCTTCGTCTAGTTGAGGCGGCTATTATGCAAGACATGATGTATCAAACAAGTCTTGCTCAAGACCAAACGAACAGGCTTGAAGGAAAGCATCAAGAATAATGATCAGCTCTCCCAAGATGAAGGTGAGACTTTGGCCGGATCTATCACCGCTGATACTTACGGTAAGAGCACCGGCTGCGCATTGTACTTAGATATAGGGGCATCGGTTTGATGTAAGTAAATGTGAAGTTGTTACTACCAGGCGCATCGGCCTTTTTAGTCACCGTGAGTTCTTGAAGAGTGGTCTTGCCGTTTCAATTAGAATGGAATGTTGCTAAAGTATGGACCAGTAAGCAAGCTACCAATGACATCTTGGTCGTAGATGTTTATGTAAAGCAAGAGAAAAAGTGTCAAAACTCGCCTCTGAACACTTCTCGCGCTCGACTTGTAAAATAACCATCTGACAGTATACGCGATACAGAGCTGGAAGCATTGTGGCCTCCGTATCCCCAGACTATGAGAGTGCGGAGATAGGTGTGGAGCCGAGATTTGAGCTACGTCAGGGGTACTTAGATCGCTTCGGGGCCAATGTGGGTCGACGTATCGCCAGGCCAGCAGAGGTCCAGAAAGGATGGCTTGAAAAATAGCATTCTCGACCCACGGTGTCACCATGTCAACTTGCTTTCAATTATGCTACATGACCTCACAATCGTGTGCATTTACCGTTGCCTTACACAGAATTCATGGCCGGGTGGCTCTCGATGCGAGTCCCGTCCACTGATTTAGTCTGGGATTCTCATTTCGATACCTCAACACACTCGTTGTTCATATTGTCGGCATACTCTAGCTACGCAGAGCCAGCAGCTTTCGGGCTGCGAACCTGGGGTAGCCGATGATTCTCCGCCTCTCCCGGGAATACTTCAGGTCCATATCCCTGCGTCTTTACCTTTTCACATGCAGATTTGTGAAGTTTAACAGGCTTTTACTATGCCATAGAACCAACAGCATAAATAGGTTCCCAGAAGACGACTGAACAAAGGTATTTGAGTTTAGAAATCAGGGGGATATTGTACCGTGTCAATTTCACATTCGGTATTCCAACCAGACATGGCCGACTATGACGGCGAAATTACTACTGACCTGGAAGTTTGCCAGTGCTTTTATTGAACCACATATAATGATTTCAGGAAGAAGGCAAAGAAAATACCCCAGATTATCTGACCTCAGTTCTCCACCGTCTCCACGCCTCATCTTTTTCTCGCTTCTTACTTCAGTCGACCTCATCCATGGCCTGTCTGCATTTCCGCTTTCTGGAACACAGCTACTTACTTAGTTTCACTCCAGAATCTGGAATTTGTGTTACTATAGGTCCTAGTGATTTCTAACGTAGTAATCTCCTGTTACCTCATGGAAGACGAGCCAATTGGTTCGATCTCCCAGATTTTCAGGTCCACCAGCCACATCTCACTATTTTGCCACCGAATCTCAATGGCTCAGAATCCCGGGGATCTTGAGCGGACCTACAGATTTCTACAGTCTTCTAGGAATTTGCGGACAGTTTTTCGTGTGTTGCGCCGACAGCTTTTTGACCGCCAAAGGCAATCCGAGCACAGATCTGCTGTCTTACAGGGTTCCAAAGTGGAGCCACAGCGCCCATGAGAGGGTGGTCGGACTGGCAAGCGGTGCCCTCAATTGGACTCGTTGCGAGGGCCTTAAATCAACGAACTAGTATCGCAATTTTGCTTAGAGCGGCAAGTGACTCCCGGCGGAATTGCGGGGTAGACCTTGATTTTGTTACAATGGATCTGGGCATTAATGAGTGAGCTAATACCGCCAACGTGGAATGAAGCCTCTGAAGCATTACATTAGCCGCCCCCACGGAGAACGTATAATGGCACAAAGACTCCTTGAAAAGTTGAGTATCCCCGTCACTGGTAAATTTTTGACTCCTTGTCACACCAGCCCATACTGCAAGCGATCATGGACACATTATCTTTTGATGAACAAGCGAAAGAAGTCTCATCCCATGAGGTTGAGAATGTAGCTGCTATTGAAGCAGTATCGTTTACTGATGAGCAAGAGAAAGCGCTGGTGAGGAAGATTGACCTCACCCTCTTGCCCACAATCTGGGTCATGTATTTGTTGTCCTATCTGGACAGAACCAAGTGAGTGAAGTCTCCAAAAATTCGAAAAGGTTTATACTGGATGACCAATAATCATTCCGCTATAGTATCGGGAATGCGAAGATTTCCGGTATGCAGGTAGATCTCAACTTGACATCCAACCAGTACTCGATTGCTCTGGTTGTCTTCTTCGTCGGGTATGTCTTATGCGAAGTTCCGAGCAAGTATGACAGTTCCTTCCCATGAATTGCGTTCTATTTGATTATGATCACTTACATTCTGTCACCGGCAGCCTCGCATTGGCCAAATCGCGGCCTTCGATCTTCCTACCTTCAATCATGATCCTTTGGGGAGCCTTGACATGTGTCATGGCGGCCATAAAAACCTTCACTCACTTGGTAGTCCTGAGAATTATCTTGGGCTGCATTGAGGCCGGATTTGCTCCCGGTGTTTTGCTCCTCCTATCCTCATGGTACAAGCAAACCGAACAGTCAAAGAGGTTCGGGGTGTTTATCTCAGCCGCCGTTCTATCGGGTGCATTTGGAGGACTTGTTGCAGCCGGAATCGTTAATGGCCTTGAGGGTGTACATGGTATCCGAGGCTGGCGATGGCTCTTCATCATCGAAGGCGTCATGACCATCAGCGTTGCTATGATCTCTATGTTTATTCTGCCGGATTTCCCGACAACGACAAGACGTCTCTCAGACTCTGAGAGACAGATTGCTGTTGCACGTCTGGCTGCCCAGAATGTTACATCTGTAACTGAAGATACTGAGCAACTGAGTCACCTTTCTGCTTGTAAGGTGGCCTGTCAAGACTATCGCACCTGGGCTTTTATAATTGGTTATATGGTTCGTCGATGCTCCCTCTCATTGTACACTCAGCCCTTAGCCTTCCTTGTCTCCGAGAAAAAAACTCACTTACCCGATGATAATCAACCTGGTATTGAAACATAATTAATATTCTGTCTGCAGGTCATTGTCGGCTCGAGCACCCTGACATACTTCTATCCTACCCTTGTGAAAGGGCTTTTCGGAAACGCATCCACCGAACAAATCAACTTGTTGACAGTGCCTATTTACGCGGCAGCATTCGTTGCAACTGGTGTTACCTCATATTACAGTGATAAGGTATCCACTTGGCGTGGATTGATCATTGCTTCCTGGCTGGCGTTTTCTTTGATTTGTTCGATCATTGTCTGCGCCGTGTACAACTTCACAGCACGATACGTTCTCCTTGTTCTCATGGCAGCTGGTCTATGGTCTGCTAATGGAGGAACGCTAGCTTATGCATCCTCTGCATTTGCTGGCATGCACCCGCAGGCCCGGGGAGTTGCCTTAGCCATGGTTAATGCATTAGCCAATTTAGCGCAGATATACGGATCGGTATGTATCGTACTCAAGACTTGCTTCTGGTCTGCCATGGAACTAACTTGATTACAGTACCTTTTCCCTGAAACTGACAGTCCTAAGTATATTATGGGGTTTTCTGTCATTTCCGCTATGTTGGCAGTTGGTGTGATTGTTTTTGTGTGCCTGCATATTTGGTTTCGTCGGCTGTCGCGGTCGCACCAGGTAGTCCAGTGAAAGAGTTTTGATTCTAGCGAACAACACAGGGTACGAACAATGGTAACGTGAACATGTTATTGTAACACAGAAAGGAAAATAACCAGGCATTTCATGTCTTGGAGCCTCCCGTCGAAGATATGGCGAGATTTCAGTTTCCTAGGTCTTGAAAATCTTTGAAGCTACATGCCTTTTTTTGGATAGATGATCAATGCATCGCTCGATCTATGCAAATAATTCGAACTTATTCAAGTTTCAAAGACCATGATAAATGATTCAAATGTGTCTCGGAAGCTTTTCCAGGAACTGAACTAAGTTACGACATCCATACATAGGATGAACTTTGCTATCCTTGGTACATGTACAAATAAAAAAGCTTTCACACTAATCCGGAATTCGTGATCATTTTCTGTCAAACAGAGTAGTATGGATTAGCAGTGTAGCACCTGGCGCTTTGTTGCATGCACTTCTCGCCTCCCTACTCTAGGGCTTCCTTCCTAGACAGCTATTTACCCACTCAAATACATAGTACTACCAATGCCAAAGTTTGACCCCTCACAAAACCCCGTTAGGCCATGAAATGCATGTTTCAAGTCATTAAGCTCGAGCTCCTTTCGAAGTGATTCTACAGGCCATTGAACTCCCTTTTGGGACGAGTGAAGAAGGTCCAAAAGGGCAAGTCGCTCATCCGGATCGTGAACACAAGTTGCCTCTATCAGGTATCAGTGCCTTGTTTAAATACCTCTTCGTGACGTCTCACCTCCATATAAACACTTGAGCGAGATGAGATTGGCTCGAATGTTATTTGCGTAGACAGACCTTGCAATTCCATATATGGTATTCACAGATGCGGTCAACATTTCCTTTGATCGCTGGTCGTTACCAGTAGCACCTAAGAAAGGATCGTGCAGGATCACAAGCATGAGGGCGAGGCTTTAGGTTTGGAGCGCCGCTGCATAGGATGCCGGATTGGTCCCTTTCAGAAAAAAGTGGCATGCCGAAAGCGCCAGCAATGGGTTCATCAAGCCGATGTTTCCCAAGGCTAGGTGCGTTACTGTTCTTGCGAAATGCAAATCTTGTTCATAGAAATCTAAGAGCTTGCTCACAACATGCACGAAATGCCGCAAAAGAAAAAGCTCAACACCAAAGAGAGGAATTGGTTGCTCTGGGGCCCACCAAGCGCCAGTCGCATCAGTCGTATCAGTCCCAGTATGCGGTACTTGGGAGTCCAAATCTCGATAATTATGATATATATCTCTTATTATGGACTTGTCGTAATGGCCCTTCCCACATTTTCATGCACAGAAAGGCGCGCTAGGTGTACGCTGTAACCTAGCCCCAGTTACCACGCGGATTGTGACGTCAGAGCCGTCAGATGGACTATGAGAGAGGACGACACTATTCGCGTCCGTGTTGTGGGTGATCGCACATTCCGTTCCTGAGCCTGTACTTAATTGTCGGAGAAGCCTCAGATGCTGAAGTAATTCCGACGGACCTTTGGGGAAACTTGCTGTCGACTTTTGTTCGCCATTTTTCACGATGATTTCTGATGGCGAGACGGATACGTCTGGTGGTGCAGCAAGATCATGAATGTAAAAGCAGGACCGGCTCCCAATTTTACAGGGGCCACACTGGGGTCGTTCCTGGCTGGATGAGTTTACAACGCCGATGAAAATACTTTGTGGTTATTTGAAAGTCTCATACCTCATCACACTTGACATGATGGCGTTTACAGATGATGCTAGAGTCGTCTAAGTATATTGGGTTATTCAAAATCAAAGCAAGAAGGAAAACCAACTAGCCAGTCGTAGCACGCAGCCCACGTCCCCGAGACTTCCGTTTTGGTCGAGCTCCAGTCTCTGGTTGACCATGACGACCTCCGGGAGCGGATGAGGACTGGACGGTCGTGTCAATCTTGTGGGAGCAGTATATCCACCAAGGTTGAGACAGAGGCAGTATTACTGTAGAGTAATCAACAGAATAACGGCTGAATCCAGATCATCAAAATGAACCGGCGTCTCTCGTTCATTAACCATGGCTGCCACTCATATGATGGAGTCCGGTAGGAGTTTCGCTTCCTTGTGATGTTACAGTGGGGATCAACATTGAGCAAGTGCCATAACGCGGGGGGAAGGACCGGAATAGTCGCCTTTGCGTGGTAGGCCAATTTGACGTCCAGGACCAGCTAACAACGAAACTCGGTGCCGTTCATGCTCGCCGAGATGGCCAGCATTACGATGGACTCGATGCGAAGGACAATGATCTCTCCACCAATGACGCATGGTTAACCGGAGTGGGTCAGACTCGCCTCGACGCCATCAAATGACGCTAGCGCCCTTTTTTGAAATGACAGTGCGGTCTTTGCCAAGAGTGCGGTCGGTTTGGGGTAAGTCGGGAACATTTCTCCGTTCCTCCATTCGGCGATGCGATTTCCAATAATTGATCGCTGCTATTCACGAAACAGGACCACAGGACCATGAAAGATTTAAATTGGACAGCACTCTCCGCTCAAATGGTAAATCAATCTATTTCCTGTATCGCACTATCTTCTCATACACGTCGTACACCATGAGTTCAAATTTGCCGGACACCTCAGCAGTCAATGGCCATCAAAACGGCAACGATATGACAACACAACATCAAGCGGCGTCGAATGCATCGCCTGTTTTCCTAGACACCCAGCCAGGCCCCGATCACAACTGGAAAATTACTCTGGAAGGCAAGGTCATTTGCATCACTGGTGCCAACCGGGGCATCGGCCTAGCCCTCGCAGAGGTCTGCTTAGCCAACGATGCCGCCGACGTTTTCAGCCTAGACATCTTCGAGCCCGGAGAAGAGTTTGCTGCTCTACAAAAAGCCAACCCAAATAAACTACATTACGTCCGCTGTGATGTCACTTCTGAGGAGAGCATTACCTCCGCAATTGATGCTGTTATCGCGGCACGAGGTGCTATCCATGGTTTCATCGCGAATGCTGGCATGACGAAGCACCAGCCAGCCCTCGACTTCAGCCGCGCCCAATTGGACCAGCTATTCAATCTCAACGTATTTGGTGCCTACTTCTGCGCCACGACTGTTGCTCGTCGGTTCATTGATCTGAAAATTAAAGGATCAATCGTCTTCACTGCTTCTATGACGTCCTATCGCCCTAACCGCGCAGCACCTTCGGCTCCATATGGGGCGACAAAAGGAGCGGTGCGAAATATGACACACACACTTGCAATGGAATGGGCTAAGCATGGTATCCGCGTGAACTCAATTTCGCCTGGCTTTATCAAGACTGCCATGACCTATTTCGTGGATCAAGCTCCAGACTGGGATCTCAAGATGCAATACTATGGCGGCATGCCCAGGTTGGCCGATCCCAAAGAACTTGGCGGAGCTTACGTATACCTGCTCTCCGACAGTGCCTCATATACCACTGGCATTGATATTCCGGTGGCTGGAATTGTTGGTGCTTGGTAGGCCTTATAAGTACGGTGTAGAAAATACTACAAATTATGAAAACGATCCCACTGGGACAAGGTCCCGTTGAGTATGCGTCGCATATAGTATAAACTTCCCGATAAAGATCATTCCTCCCAGCCCTTCTTGAGTCGGGTTATAAGACCTTTGGCGGGGAATCCGCTAATCCGAAGCATTCTACGTAGAATATCAAGAAGCTCGTTACGCATTTCGGGCGAGCGGACAAACCGGCCAACTTGAGATACGTCAGCAATAATTTGCAATGAAATCAGAGATGAACTGACCACCAAACAATACCTGCACGTTGACAAACGCCATTGCAGGCTCATTTTCCTGACAAGAATTGGCGATCCCACAGACCACTTTAACGCTTTCGGTAAGTTGCTTTTCGCGTTGCATGTAAGTGCTTAGGCCTCCCATCGTGGGTTGGTTCAACAACACAGCCGTCCTCGCGAAATGGTACATCTGTATTGCACCTGCATGATTCATGGGATGAATCCAGATAGGTGGGAATACGGTATTTGAAGTTGCATTCATGGTGGTAGTGACTGGCTGGTATGAAGCAGGAAGGGCACGACGCCAATCATCCAGTGCGCAGAGAAGTCGGTCGCCTTGCTTGATTTTCATCCATGGGTCCTGATTTGATAGTGATCCATCCGAGGCAGCATACTTCACGCACTTTCCACAAAGGTAGAGAATTCGCGTCGCCAGCTCATCCGAATTTAGGTCTTCAAGAGGCTTTCGTGGATTCCAGAAGGTGATGGTCGGTCGTCCCGCTTGAAACGCTGCCCAAATATCCTGTCTAAGCCAAGCCCACCAAACGGCCTGTCTCAAGCCGTCAATAGATTCGCCATCGTTATCCTGAGACCGTTGAATCCAGAAAGAGCCTCTCAGATGCTGCTCCCAGACGCCCCTGCTCGGGGCACTGTCGGCATCGAACATCTCGTACGTGCTGATCATGGTGGCTGTTGCTAAGATCTCGTGCGACTCGGCATAAGAGGGATAAAGTAATGTTTTTGAGAGATACCCAAGCGTTTCATAATAATATTGTGTAGCCATGTGTCTCGGATTATGATCTGAATCTGGCGATAGACCGGTCCTTGCCGGTTGTATCGGAGGACTGGCATCCAGTGCGAGATTGTTACCTGATACACCTCCATCAGGTGCATGTAAGGAATAAAGAGACATATGCTTGGCGCCAACAGCAAGGATTGACTTCAAGAGGCCAAAGTTTTGTAGTGCGAGGTGGGGAACCACGTAACTAAAATGCCGTGCAGGATCAAATAAGTCCAGGATTGGCCCAACAATTTCGACGTAATATCGGAAGAACTTCAAGTCAATTTCCGATAGTTTTATCCTCGTTGTTGTATTCCAAAGTTCAGATGATCGTTGATCATTTGATGAAGATTCGTCAGGTCTGCCATCTCGATCGTTAAAGTTGATTTCGTGCTGCTGCACGTCGGGTCTTCTAGCTTGTTCGAGCTGAGGGCCAGCACACTCTGGGACTGGAGACTGTTTACGAGAGAGGGCAAGCTCGAATGATTTCCAGCTCAAATCTCCATTGGAGGTATGAGACAAATGCTGGATGTTGCTGATCGCATCACGTGCCAACAAATCGTACCATTCAAAGGGGGAGATGTTCAGCAGGGATACCTGGCTCAGCGAGAGCGGAGATTCCGAGAATGTCGAGCCAAAGCTGGGCAGGCTTTGCTGGTTAGGCTCATTCAGATTGTTATTGTGTGGTATCTCAGTTGACTCGGTTCGGTGCATCGGCACGGCATTTTCATCAGAGGCGGAAAAACTAGCTTGAAAATGCGTTGCTGTCCCAATATCTCCCTGTTGTGAGTGAGGACTTTGCGATACCGCTTGAGTCGCATGTATGTCGTTTGCTAGGTCATCGCTAACGCGGACTACCTCACGCCACTCGACACTTGAGTCCGGTTGCGCTCTAGTGACATCCCTATTGTTCCCGACCGTAGCGGCACGGGTCTGATCAACGTCGTGGAAAGCATCCTGGGTATATCGACAGACCCGATGAGATTTGGAGCAACGCAAGCATGTAGGTTTACCATCGTCGCATTTCACGCGTCTCTCCCTGCAAGTGAGACTGTCATGTGCATGTGAGCCTGATGTTCGCTTAGGTGGACTTCGGCGATGTCTCGACAGCGTATATACCTACCATCCTGTTCTGGTTCTCAGTCCACGTGCCCGAGAGGGCCTGATGCGCCGGCGCCCTTTCCCCGATGCGCTGCCCTCGGTCGTGGGCCCCTGCCGTGTGTTGCCAGTGACGTTCATGGGAGGTGCATTGCAGTGGTTTTCGTCTCGAATGCGCTTTCGGTTAAATAACCACCCGCCTCTGCTCGACCCACTTTCTTCCCACTTTTAACATTTCCGGCGGCACGTGCAGGTGCCGCAGCTGGGGTCTAACTTTCTGTCGGTTTCACCATGATTGCGGAGCGGGTGGCCCGGCTAAGCGGGAATTACGTTAGTTAACTACTCACTGAGCAGGTCTAATCATTTGATGGTTTCTAGGAATGAGACACGAGCATTTGATAGGTCGCATGAATTGCAAATAAATTTGTGAGATCCAGTATGTAATTTAAAACTGTACGTGAGCGAGACTATAGCGGACACTATTACGAAATGAAAAAAAAAAAAAAAAAAAAAAAAAAACCAGAAAACGCCAGGTTGCTACGGCGAGTTGGGTTAAGCGTGCACGAGGTCTAGAATGCCCTCTGGGCGCTTAAAGTCCTCGAACCACTGCTCTTGCCCCTCGAGTAGCGCACTAGCCACTTCGAATTGCTCATTTACGAGAGCCTACGTAATTTTGGCACTGAGTCCTTTTACCCGAGTTATAGTACGTTTAGCTTCAGCCTATATATCGCTAGCTATCTTCTTACTGATTAATAGCTTGTTCCGTTGATGGCCTTGATTTTCACGCACTAGAGTCGACCCTATCTGCGTATTCCGCCATAAGCTACATCGCTCGTATTTTCCGTTCTTAATATAGTTTATGTTAACATGAAAGTATGCATAAGCTTATGAAAACTATCGAACTTTACAGAATGTGACCGAATGCACACGTGATAACGATCTTCAACGATCCCCAGCCATTGACATTAATAAGATTGCCCACATGATTAAGAGCTTCAACACTTTATACTTTCTCCTGATTTCTATGAGATTCGATTATGATGCAATTGCTTTCGATACTCCAGAATTTTAAATACTGCCTACTTTCTATAGCTAGATGAGATCAAGTTCAATGATTTTGATGAAGATGAAGTTTGAGCATTCTTCTATCAGAAGTTGACTTCCGATTCTTGGCAGAATCGTAGAGCCCTTGACCTTAAACGATCTATTTAGCAGTAGATCGTACGACCTGACATAAATTGATTGACCGTGCATATTCGCTTGCTTATACACGCCGAAGGATTTATATTGACCCTATAAATCAGACACTATAGCTACTCTTATCTATAATTGTCAGCATATAAATAAGCTGGTGATATTCGGAGATCCTGGCAGAGACCTTCTATAACTAGGAAAGCTAAAGATGCCGCCTATTAGTGCATTTTTGGCCGACCTAGATGGTCAGATGATCTGAATTTTCCGTCAATAATCTGTACCTACTCTTATCCGCCGACGGTACGTAACGCCTAGAGAGTATTAAGGAAGAGGCTTATATCTCGTTAGTTATAAATCCGCTTTCTAAGAGGCACTAGAAATATAGGTATTCTTTTTTAATCGCTTTCAGCTGTTTTCTTTAGCGTTCTTATTTTTTGTTATAAAAAAGAACTCTCTCTATACCTTAGAAAAGCTAGTATAGATCTCGAGATCGGAGTAGGGGAAGGATAACGATTAAAGGAATAAGTATAGGATAACTATTTTAAAGGCTTAGAGTGAAGGGAGAGAACCTCTATTTCGTACTTAAATGTTGAGGGTACAGATCACTAGTACTATTTATCACAGAGACTAAATAATCGCTTTTCCCTAGTGCCCTTATTAAGGAAGTATCTACTTTACAGGGTAGATGGCCTATCAACTAGGTAGGAGAGGAAAGCACTAAGTCAGATTGAGACAAAGACTGTTTCTTAAGGAAGATGAATCCCACTTCCTTAAGCATCTGTTTAAATACATTATCTTTTGTGCAAACAGGAATCAAACACAAAGTAAGGGGGAAACCATGGCGAAAGGCTACCGTATGGCTAACGTATGGCATATACTGTAGGTGCGGCCTACATACAGCGTGGCTGTCGCGTATCGCGGCCGAGGGGCCACCGACTGACCGCCGGATAGCTACCGCCTTAGTAGAACCCTCGGTCTAAGTATACCTAAGGCCCTAATATTAGTGTGTGAATAGTCTTATCGAAATATTATAATAATTATCCCCCCTCTAAGGACTCTCTCGCCCTCGAGAGAAATCGATATATAGAAAATAAATAAACGCCTAAAAGGGGACGTATTAGTCAAAATAGAAACTAAACGTGGTAAACGTGGTAAACGTATAGATAAGTAAATAAAGATAGTATATTTCCTTTATTAATATTAGTAACGCTTCTTCTCCTCCTTACTTCTTATCCTCTCCTTCCTCTATCTCTCTCGCTCGTTAGCTTCCTTTATATTAACGCGCCTCTTCGCCCTCGAATCTCTACCTATATCTTACCGAAAACCTCACGATACCGCCGCGAATCCGGCCTTTCCTAGAGAATCCTATTATTATAGGGATTCTCTAGTATATATACTATCTTCGGACCGCACTCGCTAAGTAGGACCCTACCTATAACGACTAGCCTATCTAGATCGAATACGTCCGCGACGCTAAAGCCTCGGTAATATATCGGTAGTATTCCGCTCGTAATACTTTATACTTTCCGGTAGGTTTCGCTAAATCTTCTTAAGAGGATAAGACTAACGGCTATAGATTATAACTACTATAATAGGAGATAGCCACGACCTAGCTATTATTCTTTCGTAGACGCGTAAAATATTTTAGGTAGGATAGATAGACCCGAGCGACCCCGGAAGCTTTATAGACTAGCTATTTCCTACGGAAACCCGTCTAATTATCGCCGGATTAATATAGGACCTATATTAAGCTTTTAATATTTCGGAGTAGGCTTACCGTAAGGAGTACTTACTAACCGGGAGTAAGACCTAAATTAAGGTATACTTCCTCTACTTCTATTTATACGTATACTAACTAGCGTTTCGGTAGTTAACCTAAGCTAACTATAACGCGCTTCTCTTCGGCCGCTGTACTACCCTTTCTACTATCCCTATCCCTAATCCCCTTAATACTCCGGAGTAGAAAGCGGACTATTTTAATAAGCGGCTTCTTCGTCTTTACCCTAGAGACGAGGGATATATTACTTAGACTCTAGCGAAACGGGTCTTTTTCGATAAGGTTTCGAGAGTAATTCGCGAGGCTTAGGATAACCTAGACTCCGATAATAATAATAATACCTCTATAGGTAGAGATAAAGTAGCCGCCCTTATAATAAAGGACTTCCCCGTCTTTATAGAGACTAAGATCTAGGTACTATTATCCTTTTACTATAGATTCTACTAGATTTCTTTATTATTTCCTCGTTCTTTCGGGGGCCTATCTATACTAGGGTACTTTCTTTAGCGGGACTTAGCTAGGGCCTACCCTTAAGTTATCTTTCTATAGGGGATCGCCTTTCGTTTCGCCGCCGCTTCGGCGGGTTTTTAGTAGTAGTCCTTTAAATTAAATAAATTTCTCTCTTTCTTTCTTTCTTTCTTTCTTTCCTTATCTCCTCTTTCTCGCCCGGTCCTTCTCGCCTAGTCCTCCGACTAAGAACTACTAGCGTATCTTAGCGGAGAAAGTTATTACGCTAGGTATAAAGTTCCGGAGAGTGTTTAATAGCGGTTCTCGCTTATAGCGTATCGAGTAATACTTAGTAAGGTCCTACCCTTAAGGCGCTTTATAGCGGAGGGATTGTCTTATTTTAGCCGTCGTTTCGGTAACCTTTCGCTACTTATCCTTTAGATTTAATCCGGTATTACCCTTCTTTCTCTTTTAGTAAGACTATATAGCTTCCGTAGTATTATCTATATCTTCCTAGGGGACCTATTAATTATATTTAGAGGGCTATCCCTTCTACTTTATTAGAAAGTGAGTTTCGCTATTAATAGTCCTATCTTCGCGAACCTCTTCTATCTTATATTTATTATTATTCTCGAGATTAGGTATCGGTAGGAATTTATAATTAGTCCCGTTTAGTTTCCGCTATAGTTCGAGAAGGGATATATAAAAAATATTATAGATTCGGTTATACTACTAGGGTAAGCTTAGGCGGTAAGCTTATTTACTAATAGCCTATAGGATTTAGAAGGGTCCGATAAAGTAAGGGGCTAGCTTCTTACTTCCTTTTAACCTTAGATTCTTAGTTAATAACCCTATAAGATTACCTTTCTTAAACTATATCGGTTAGTAGTCTTTATTATAGTATTTCGCTATTAATTTATTAGCTTTTCGCTAGTTCTCCTATAATCTCTCTTAGAGTGCTTCGAGCTTTTTAATTCGTACGGATACCGCTAGGACCTCTCCTAAGGCCGATTCGCCCTCGAATCGGTATTAGAAGCTAGGCGAATAGCCTATTAAAGCTTAGAAAGGGGAGAATTTTGTTATTAAGTTAACTATATTATTATAAGCGTATTCTACTAATATAAGTAGGTTTAGCTATACCGTTTAGCTTTCGTTAGTAAAGTACCGAAGGTAATATTTAAGGGTTTAGTTAACCCGCTCTATTTAGCTATCGGTCTATAGGTAAAACGTAGTCGAAAGCCTAAGGCGTACTTTAGATATATAATAAAGACTCGACTAGAATTTACTAATAAAGACCGGCCCTCGGTCGGAAATAATACCCTTAGGCGGTCTAAAACGTAACTCTACGGAGTTATAGAATAATTCGGTAAGTTCTATAGCGGTAATCGTAGTCGATATAGCGAAGAATAATAACTATTTCGTGAATCTATCGATAATTATAAGGATTAAATCTACCTCTTTACCCTAATAGAATACCGGCGGGAGTCCGGTAACGAAATCTATCGAGAGTTTAGTAAAGGGTCGTAATAGGATCGGTAACGATTAGAGTTCTCCGTAAGGCTTATACCTTCTTATAGTAATACCTTAGTATACCTAGTAATCCTATACGTATTTAGTAACGTCTTAGTCTAGATTCGGCTAGTAATATTTCCTTTTTATTAGTTTAAGGGTATAAGAGCGACTAAAGTAGCTAATAAGGGGATTATTATAATAAATACTTAATAATCTTATTCTAAGGTTACTTCCTATAGGAATATAGATTCGTTCTTTAAATCTTAGTAGGGTATCGTATCTTACTAACTAGCCCTTAAACCTATAGTTCGCCTACGTTACGGTAGTCTTTCGGCGCTAGGTCTCTAG